CAGTTTTTCCAATGGTTTACAGCTTCAGTCTTGAACTATTGACCCTCCATTCCCTTCACTTATACAAGTGTCTCTAGTCCTGCAAAAAACATATTTACTTAATCCCTTATCAGTGAGAGGCTAGGTTACCCATGGGCGCTGCGTTCCCTGTAACAGCAGAACACAACACTATGGAAAGTATAAGTATTGCCACTCCTAATTGTGCGTTGCGTGCCATATAGTGAAGCACATGAAAAGCATGCTTCTTCACGGTCACTTAACGTGTTCGTTTTGCGGTTACGTGAGACACTGCATGCATTGGTCTTTATTCTTACAGTAGAGAAGTCATTAATTATAACTTTTTGTGAATTGGGACATTTAAACTTGCTTTTTTTAAAAAATTCCAATCTAAATTTAGTAGGAGTCGGAGTCGGTGCATTGTTTGCCGACTCCGACTCCAGGTACCCAAAATTTACTCCGACTCCTCGACTCCGACTCCACAGCCCTGTCAATAACCCAAGGAAATTAGCTGCTCTTGGCAATTTATTCAGTTATATTATGAATGAAAGCAAAAACGTATATAATCTGGGTGCATATTCTAGATGTTCAAGATGGAAAAGAAAAAATGGAATCTGATCTTCCAGCATTAAATAATTGGGTTATGTATGTCTCCTATTATTTTCATCCCTACACTTTATTGAAATACAAGTGCTCACAAATTCCAACAGGTATCACAGAGGAAACAATGTAATCACTGAAAACTACATGCAGCATTTTGCAATAAATTTCCACACATACATGGAAATACAAATAATTCCATGCAAAGAACTATCTGAGACCCTAATCTTGCAAGTAACAACGTAACTAGGATTTTGTTGTGTAAATACAAAAGGGAATCAGTTTAGTGGAATGATTAAGGTGCTGACCTAGAAATGAGGAAACTGAGTTTTAGTCCTGCTTAGACATGAAAGCCAGCTAGGGTACTTTGGGTCAGTCACTTTCTGTAAGCCCAACTCACTTCACAGGGTTGTTGTTATGGGGAACCTAGGAAGAAGGAATATTACCTATGTTCACTGCCTGGAATTACTTATAAATAAAGGCAGAATAAAAACAATCTAAAAATATATATACTAAAAAAAAGAAACAATGGAATTAATTATGTAGTTAACTTTTAGACATTTGCAAGAGAAAAACCCAATTTTTCAGGGATTGGGGTTTCTTCTGACTGAATGCCGGCCACCATACCTATGTTTCTATTAACCAGCCACCAATACAATGAATACTACTTGAAGCTGCAGGAAGAGATTTTAGATCAAATTATTTGTGAATGCTCAGGGAATGGGGAGCAAGGGGAAGTGCATGGAAGAAATGATTAGCCGAAACTCTAATTTCCAAACTAGAGCCCCTCCAACTTCATTCTACAATTTTTACCACCTATGGTCAGCATGACTGCTGATCCTTGCTGTAGAATATAATAGCTAACAAAATGAAAGCATTTGCAAGATAATGCTGGCCAAGAGCCAAAGAAAATAATGCTCCTCATTGGGAAATGTAAAGCAAACAAAAAATTAGGGTCAAATCAAACAGGATATGCTAGACAGCTAGAGTCATTTACTAATGTTTGCTTTACTTTTAAATGAAAGTTCATTGTTTTAAACCAAAGTTAAGGCAGGTGAAATACTGTAACTTGTTTTCCTTCCTTTATTCCAATGTTATTTGGGACTCATGGGGGAAATTATGTTTTAATATCTATCTTTTCCATAGAGGAAGTAAAAAGAAGATAAGAAATATTTAGAAGATAACATCAGGATGACCAAAGTCCCACACACCCACTCCCCCCCTTTTTCATCAATCAACCTTATGGGATTGGATTTTATCTTGATTAAACACATACAGTAAGTCTTTCATGAAAAGGGAGAGTAAAGATGAAGTCACTGCCTCTTTTCTCCCACCCTCTGCTCTGTGCTGACCTTGAGGGAAGAAGGCCAGTCAGTCATCCATATTTAACATACTTTGTTACCTAAGAAGCTTCTACACAAAATGAAAACCCCAGAAAGATTTTTTTTCAATCATGTAGTGTACCTATGGTTAGAGATGCTATCTCTTACATAAAATTGACTTTAACTCCATAATTCAAAGATGTACAATCTGACATCTTTGACCAAATGTCGCCTCAAGAGACATTCAACTCCTGTCAACAAATTCTAATGTTTAATATTAAAAACATAACTTATTACATGCATGAGGGCAGAATAATTACTATTTGTACTTTATTTAACTGCATTTCATCACAAATGAAAGCAATTCAAAACTCTGTCGTGTTCTGGAGTTAACTGTTTTTATCTTATCCTTTGCATGCTTCTCAAAAGCCAATTGCGTCCCATGGCCCAGGAAAAAAGCTACAAAACATTCTGAGCCAGACAACACTTTTACTCATTTACACAAATGTAAGTTATTATATTTAGTGTAATTTAGCTATTTTATTTGGGAATTGCATATATTGCCACAGATAATTCTGTGGAAAGATAGCTTTCATTATATTCTTTTCTCCATTAGCATTCAAATTAGATTCTAAAATTATTGTTATCTCTTCTATTTATTATAAACATTTAATCTTGGGAGAACCTAATTCTACCAGCTTCAAACATTTACATTCAGGCATACCACATTTTCTACAATTATGACCAATCTTTTGGTTATTTTCTATTTAACCAGAAATAGCATTAGAACAATTCAGGAGCAGCTTGAAAAATTGGTAGAGACCAAGGGCTACATTTAACTTTTGGGGCGAGTGACTGAGGATCACAAAACAGATGGATTATAGCACATACCGGTATATATAGACAGGTTAAGTCTGAGTACATTACTTAGTTTTAATTACAGCGCAGCTATTTTGGATCATATATTTTTCTTCACTCGAATGTCAGGAAACTGTAGAGCTCAATTTAGAGATGTTTCCAACAGGTTCGAAAGGGACTGCTGAAGATTCACAAAGTCCTGAGCACAGCCTGACCACACCCAATTTAAAGCGCTATGTCAAAAGCGGCAAGTTCTTGCTTTCCTAGTCCATGTATTTTGAGAATCATCTAAAATTATACATTTATTGCTAAAACCAGAATATTTATATCTCCTTTGTAGTTTTTTTGAAACGACATAAACAATTTCCTATTTGCAGCTACTATGGAAACAATATTGTTAGAAGGGCAGGTGAAGGTTAAGAAAACTCCAATTACAAATTAGCAGGTAAGTAATGTAGAAGGGAAGTTATTCTAGGTATCAGGAAGTGGCACTACAATGTAACATAAGACTAAGCATATATAAGATTATCTTAACTGCAGTTAAGACTGAAAGATTACATTACCGGCCTACTCATTTCTCATACCCCATTTTATTTTTGATGGATTTCTTTGAATATTGCATCTCCAAAATAAACATGATGTAGGAGATGCATGGAGACCCTCCACTTGATGTTCTGTTCATTTCTTTAGGAACTTTTTTAGGACAAATGGATGAGAAAAAGAAGCCTTTTCAGTCTGTCTAGAAATCTCACTCTATTTCCTAGACTGCAAAGCAAAATGTTAGGAATCCTGTATCCTTCTCCCTTTGTGAAGAAAAAAATGGGTAGGAAATTTAAAAATGGACAGAGAGAAACAGCTCTCTGGTGTGTTTAATGGGAAAGCAGACTTTGAGGAAACAATTCTAAATACCAGTAGTTGGGCGTTTTTTCAAAATCCTCCAGTAGCAACTAAAACTAGAGACAAAAGGCTACTTTCAAAAACATTCATATGATTGTTTGTGAACACCTACATAATGTCCTGTTTAGTTTATGGCAGGCATTTTTAAATTTGTGTACTATAAAAGGGGAAAAACATTTATAAATATTAAAAGCTAGTTGAAAGAGTGCATTTTTGCATTTTTTTTCTTCATTTCCATTAACACTCATTTTAAAAATATTGCTGGGGCAGAAAATGCAAAGTATACCCACTTGAATTGCTTTAAAATACGAAATATTAAGATTCAGAACATAATTATACAAAAAAATTAATGACTTTTGTGTCATAACATATTGCCATTTGCAGTGCTTTTTTTGTAAAAAAAAAAAAAAGTGCTGGAACTCACACACGTCATACAACTTGTCTTGCCTACCCTACAAGGTTCCATCCAAAAAAGGTGCTGGAACTCCGTTCTGGGCGTTCTATGAGAAAAAAAGCCCTGGGCATTTGTATCAAATTAAGATCAAAGTATAAAAGGAACCATTAAAAGATACTACACCTTTCTTAAGAAGACTTCCAAGGACTTTAAATAATTAAATCACCATTTCTAGGTACAGTAAAAGCAAAACAACATACTGTATTTTTCCATGTATAAGACGCCATTTTTTCCTGCAAATACTCTGTTCAAAACTCAGGTGCGTCTTATACATGAAAAAATAATGGTGACCTCCGCAGCCCAGGGCATGCGGGTTCTTTACATGCCGCTGCCATGACGCCTGGTGCAGGAGAATATCGCTGGCCCAAGATGCCACCTGGATGGGGAGAGAGCCGGCCCGAGATGCCGCCTGGTGCTGAACAAATCTGGTGGTTTGTTTAATATTTAAAATGTTTATTTCTGAATTTTTGTTTAGAAAATTGGGGGCCGTCTTATACAAGGGTGCGTCTTATAGATGGAAAAATACAATAATAGCAACCCTACCAAAGTTAAACATATAAAAAATCAAGAAATTGAGAGTTTGCCAAGCGAAACTGTTTTGGCTGCCTGCCTAGAATAATGATATAAAATTATAAAATGCAAAGGATCAAAGATAAAAACAATTAAAGTCACTAGGTCCAGAAGAAGAGGAGGGAAAGGAGGTTGTTTGACTTCTACTAAAATATACATTCAATACAGAGCAACAGAAGAATAGACTTATCTCCTAAGAATAACTATCAAAACCTTTTGTAACCTACGTTTACACATAATGCTACTTTTAAGGAAATAAACTGATCTTAGTTGTTTAACAGATTATCAGAATACCCCATACATTTAAATAAAAATTTAATTTCCCTGTAGAATTAGCAATACAGAAGAACATAACTGTGGTTTCTATGGCACCAGTGTCCCAGGAGCAGTACTGAGTTTCATAAGGGGTTTTCCTGCATTTTCATTCCAAAATAATATTAGTTATCTAAACTTCCTACTTCAATGTATTAAATAATAGTCTTGAAACTACTATCAAGCTAGTCTCCATTTCTATTCCAATCCAACGCTGAGTATTAGAAATCTAAGATTTGTAAAAAAAAAATGGATCAAGATTTCAGACTATTTGTTCCATCATATCTACTGACATGTTATCCTCTGCATGTTCCCACTGTCCAGCCGGTAATACAAGTAGTCCTCATTTAATAACCAGTCACTTAGCAACAGTTCAAAGAGCATATGACCAGTTCTGGAGTTCTAATAGCCACAACTCCAATACCACCTGTGGTCATGTGATTGCATTTTGGATACTTGGCAATTAGCTTGCATTTATGGCCATTTGAAGCGTTCTGGGGTCATAAGATCACAATTTCTGGTGTTTATTTTCACTTTCAAGCAAAAAAAACACCCATTGAATAAAATGGGTTCCTTTAATGGCCATTGTGTTCATTTAACAACCATGATGTTCACTTAAATACTGCCACAAAAAAGGTCAAAAAATCATGCAAGATCACATGGTGACCCACTTAATTACTGCCACAATTTATGATGATAATTCTGGGCTCAATTACAGTCATAAGTAGAGGACTCTCTGTAGCTCTACTTCTTCACATGGCCAGACATGTCTGAAGAAAAAAAACTCATGCATTTTGCTTGGCAAGATTACTTCCTTCATGTAAATTGTCATCCTAATTAACAATGATAAAGCAATCATTGTTAATTAATCAGATCAACACAGGTTGGCTTCCCTTTAGAATTTTTATGCAACATACCAAGATTGGAAGGTAGAAAAGGTGTGGATTCAGAGTTATGCATTGCTTCATTTCATACACAGGCTTTATAATATAATTTTAAATTATATTATGAATATTATTTATAATTTCTGAAAGTTTCTAATTCCCACATCCTCATAAACATTCCAATAACAGTTTCTATTCCCTCAATTCAGTGATTGAACTTTTTAGCAAACACAACTGACAGATGTTCCATATTGCATCTATCAAAGTAGATAGATTATATAATCTATTAAAACTCATGATGAGACAAAGAGCTATACTTATACATTTGAAATAGTTTAGTTATTTCAGTTCAAATCAGTTTCTTTGCTACTTAGACATTTCTCTGGGGTTATGAAATGAATTTAGGATCCATTTAACATAATCTACACAATAAGTGTTCAGAGGAGTTCATTTGTTGAACCACTTGTAAAGCTATCTTCAATTTGGAACTCTCCATTATGTTGAGCTATAACTGCCAATGTCCACCCAACACAAACCAAGTTGGTTGATATGAATTTTCACAACTCTAGACCAAAATCTGGAGGCCATCAAGTTAAAGAAGGTCCACATAGGATCCAGAAAGTGTACAATCTGAAGTGAGCTATGCCTGAACAGCATCAAGCTGTGCAGGCATTTAAAAGTTAGAGCATTTAACTTTTATAAAGTAAATGACATTTGGGACTTTGAATCATACTATGAATAACCTCAGTTCCTCACATTCCAGGTTATCATTTTTGCAAACTTCAAGAAAATTCTGTAAACTTACTTCAGATTTAGTTTGATTCAAAAATATTTAAATATATTCAAAAAGATAATTTGACTTGTAAAAAAAGGATATAGAACAGGCAATCCAATACAAAAATGCAAAAAATTCAAAAAGAATGAAAAGGAAATTTATTATGTAGTTATTTGTTCACCCTTTCACTGCTAAAAAGAAGACACACCAACTCATAGCAAAAATTTGCAGTGCAAGAAAAAGTTGGCTAAAAGAATGGAAAATGGAAGAAAAGCTTGACGTGGAATCATTTGAGCAGGATGAGATCATCCTGTTCCCAACTTGGCTCTTCAAATATTTAGATGAATTTGCCCAGATCAAATCAGCATAGAGTTACAAGAAAAACAGAGAGGAAGAAACTGTTCTCCTATATCCCCAAACAGGGATTTCTTATTCCCAGTCATTTATCTTCAGAGTAGCTGACAAACGATAAGAAAGCTAACTGGTTGGACTAGGAATTCTGGGAGTTGTAGTCCCAGCACAGCTGGAGATTATCACATTGAGGAATACTAATGTAAAATGTCATAAGTGCAGGGAGCAGAGCCACCAGAGTTGAGTCAGAACTTAAGGGAAAAAAAAGTGGGTAAAAAAGTTATTCTTTTCTTAAGGCCAAACGTTCTTTTGGAATTTCAAGCTAACTTTTTTTTTTTTAACTATTTCGCAGGAATTGCTGTGGGAATCAAACGAATGACAGGTCGCCCTTCGGGGTTTAGGGATCGCTGTGGGTGAAGAAAGTTCATTGGAAAAAATGCACCACAAAATTGTCTTGCAAAATGGCGGGGAGCGTTACAATGTATTTATATGTTCATCGAATTGATCGGCTTACTTTCCAAAATGTGTTCCGCCCTCTTGCAACTTAGTTTTAAAATTACACAGCGAGGAGAAAGCAAGGCGGGACTTACCTTGGCCATGGCTTCGGGGGATCGTTTAGGCGAAGAGCAAAAGCTGCAAGGAAAAATGAGGGACAGGGTTACGCTTCGAGAGTTCCAAAGAAAGACAACAAACACCGCTACCCAGGAAACAAGCCTATAAAGCCGAAAAAGCAGGGCAGCTCTCTTTGGCTTCCTCCGAGCAGCTCCGATCCCGGAGTACCTCAGTAGGCACCCCCTCCAAATCGGGGGGGGATCTCTGCTGAACCCCAACTTTCTGCCACGGGCAAACGCCCGAGCACTTTCTCCTGCCGCTTTTCCACGCCCTGTTGCTCCAAGCTGGGATCAGCCAAGGCCTCCGAGATAGAAAGACCGATGCGCGGAGCAATAAGAGCGCTCCGCGATGGCTTCCTCCGCTCGATCTTTCGCTACTTTCTAGCCTCAGTTTTAGCTTCCCCAACTAACTGGGGCTCGGAAAGCAGCCCCCGCCCCCGGTACGCACCGCAGCCTTAAAATGAGAGGGCGAAGATGCGAGACGCGACCGCCACTCGCGAAGCAACGGAAATGGACAGAGTTGGAGAAAGTGCGCGTCGCTCTCGCGGCCTGCCACACCCTGCGCTCAGATTCTCCCCGTGGCTCCCCGCTGGAGTCGGTCGTGGTCTTCCTGCCTGGAGCCCCACCCCGGATTACTCTGCTACTCCTCGGCACGGCGGGCCCTGGGTGTCTCTTTCCTTTTCCTCCCGGTTCAAGTTATTACGAAAGTCGGGGACTTAATAATGGGCGGATGCGCGAGACGAAGCTCTTTCTGGGTCATTATTGGTCCTATGCAGAACGGTTGCTTTACACCCACCGCTTGCACAATTAAAGTAACAAAGGGCAGTTGTTATAGTTGCAGCTGTCCTGTGATAAAAGTCTCAGTTCAGGGGCCGCAGTCGCCCTACAAACAAAGGCATTCTTTGTTTCATCGTGGTAAAAATCATACCCTGACTCATTCACACAATGGGCTACATCAGGGGTAGTCAACCTTGGTTCTTTTATGACTCGTGGACTTCAATTCCCAGAATTCCTGAGCCAGCTTAGCTGGCTCAGGAATTCTGGGAGTTGAAGTCCGCGAGTCATAAAAGAGCCAAGGTTGACTACCCCTGGGCTACATCTATCTGGCTGGGTCCACACAACATTTTCAGACACAAATAATGAAATTGGCAAAGCTGTGAGTTCAAAGAAATTCACTTCCTAGTAAATGGTTATAAAGAAGAAAGATCCATACTGTATCTGGTCTAAATAAACCAAAGGATTTGCCTATGGAAATCTGTTCAAACAGGCGAGCTGTTTCTTTGAACAGAGTGAGGTAGTTACCTTAAACTTTTGACTATTTTAGTTATTAATCATAAATAACCAAAAAGTATAATTTCACCAGTAGGTTTGTGCGGAGTTAAATGTTCAGTCTGGTGGGTCAAGATAACTAAATAGATCTTCAAAAATATGGAAACTGTTGCAGGTGATTTGTTCCTTCCTCTTGAAGTTATGCCATTTTCCACCCATTAAAACCAAAGGTCTTTTGAACTATGTAGTTTTTCTGCACCATTTCAGAAATGAAATTCATAAATAAGAAAAACAGATTTTATGTGTGCAAAAATATTTCTGTCTCCAGAAATATTCCAAGTTTTTTAAATTGCCATTTAAAAATAAAAATGATGAAAGTAAACCGTGTAATAAAATTAGGACAACTGAGAACTGGCCTTAACATTTTTAAAATTCATAGAACCTTGGAATTCCTTTGAGAGCTTTCTGATAAAACAAAACAGAGAAATCTGTATGCTGCAGAAACTAAGGTGAATTAATCCAAATACTCTTTGAAATCTCTAAGGTAGAACTAAGGGAAATTCCACATAACAGCTGAAGTTCTGTGCTGCTCCCAGCTATACTGGGAAAAAAACTTTTAAAACTTCAATCTAGAAGATAAAGGTTTGTTGGCAAAGAGGTCAGGCTGCTGCTCAAGGCAGACTGGACCCATTGCAGACCCTGATTAGCAGCCCTTGCCCTGATTCTTAACCATCCCATCCATTTTAAGCAGGTATGAGTGTGTCTATCAGAGTTCCCCTTCTACTTTTAGGGATTGTTACCTTCTCATTAGTCCCCATTCTTTTCCTGGTTATCCAGATGTTTGCACATAGTGATGGTTTCACATGTTTTTCCCATATTCTGTCCTTTAGCCCTTTCCTTCTTTTTTCCTTATGTATGTATGTATATATTTTTCTTACCATTTCACACTACAGTATTTAAAGCAAATGTAATATGCTGACCGGAAGCACTACATTGGAGGCAAAAGTCAACCTAACCTTCCTGGCTGGACATTGAAATCCAATGTAATTGATGAGTATTTATATGGGAAAGGTTGTTATGAATAAATAAGCACCCACCATGGTATTCCTGGGCATTATCACTATCCCCTTCCTGAATGCAGGAACAGATCAGGTCCTCCCAGTCCCCCCCCCCTTGCAAAGTTTTCCAAATTTCATTCAAAATTGTTTTTATATCCGTGTTAATTTGAATCCTTTACAGTGGACGGTCTTCAACACCTGGTTCCAAACTGACAGATGCAATTCAGTTGGTTGCAGTGCCTGCCAGGCCTTTTTTTTCTCAAGGGCTGGTCACTGTCCCATGCAACCATTTCATCCTGGGCTGCCAAGACTGCTGTTCTCTGCTGATTGGCAGCTGCCAAATAAATAATCTTGTTGTTGATTTAACAATGGGCTGTTAAGTCAATGACCTATCCTCACCACTTGAAGGGCATGCTTCATTCAGTCCTTATATCTCTTAGTGGGCACCCTTTTGGATTCTGTCCAAGCTGAATGAAGCATGCTCCTTTGCCCAGAGTACTGCAGACCTTTCCTTTTCTTCCCTTCTTTTTCATTTTCTTTTACATCTTCAAATGGCAACAGGGATGTTGCTATTTTGTTCCTATGATATTCCTCCTTGCTACCAAGTTTCCATACACCAACAGAAGAGAAAAAAAAATATGAAAGAACGATCTTATCTCCTGTTGCTTTGAGCCGCAGAGCCAGGATCATACCACAAGAGGGGGAAAACAATCAAAGCAACAAAAAATGATTAAAGCAATTGATACTATCAAAGATAATTTGCAGAACAGTGTGTAATTCTATGCATTCAAACATCTGGAAAGGCAGTGGCAAGAACCTAGAATAAGTGGAAGAAGAACAATACCTCAGTGGTGGGCCTAGGCAGGCTGGTTCACACAAGATCCAACCAGCAAGGTTTACTTTCTCTAGATGGGTGAGAAGGGCAAATAACTGGAGAATGACCCATCAGGTCCTTCAGTTGCCATAGTTCTAAGTGAGCACCACCATGGCCCCTTACCACCCCACCACAGTCTGAAGTGGAATTTCTGAAGTTGCCTTACAAAGCAGGTGGGAGCACAAGAGAGACCAGCAGCTCAGGCTGCAGTATGGAATTGCCCAGAGCCTACTTTCTGGTTAGTCACCCATCACTGTATTTAGCTTGGCACAGTACATATTGGTGGCAATAACAAATTGAATCTGGCTACTTTTTGGAGATATTAATAGACCGATTCAAGAATAGAAAATAAAATATTTGCTTTACAGGACAGGGCAGTGAAAGGATAATTGTTAGTTCAGAATGCAGATGGCATAAAAAGAATAGCACAATAATCATAGACAATTGTTTCAACAGTTTATCCATTCAGGAACAAAAACAAAGATGAGTTATTGCTATATTTTCCCTCAAATATTCCAAATGGCAAGTAAAATAAAAGCTTTTCTGTTGGACAAGTCTTCAGGTATGGAGAGAAAAATCAATAAAATGGTCTCTACTGTGGTGGTTCAAGGCCTTAAGACTGTTTCTCAATGCATTCACTTCAAAGATCTCTGACCCCAGTAAGGGCTTTTTCAGGCCCAGACATTTTCAAGAATGGACCTGAGAGACTCCAGTGAATAGTTTTTTATTACATCTTTCTTCCAAGAGGCATTAGATCTATTGGTAATGATGGACTTAATCAGGGACTACCCAAAAGACTAATTTCATCCAGAAATTTAATTTGGAAAATCTCATATAGTTCTCCATGAAGGCAAAGATGAACTCAGGAATGTATTATCTACATATAAGGAAAGTTTGATAAGTTTCTTAGAATTTGAACTGTACAGTTTCTGAAGCACTCCAATCTTTGAGGCAACAAAAAAATATGCAAAGTACAATGAGAGCCCAGCAAATCAACCCAAAAATTTATTAGTAGCTGTTGGAACAAAATTATTAACAAAATTACTTAGAATAATAGAAACCATCTAGACATGGACTGAAATATCATGGAATTGATACAACAATACACTGGAAGATTTTAAATAACATTCCAAATATTTTTTAAAAAAACTTGATCTGTTTGATTTGAAAGCCATTAATTTGCCATTTATTTGGCAATTTGCAAACTGTTAGCAAACAGAAAACCTTTACTTCTATAATAGTTAATTCCAAGTTCTTTTTTATGATAAAATGTTGCAAATCCTCTCAAGTGTCACCAGAGATCAAGCTAGGTTTCTGAAACAATAACTGCACCATCATCATAAAGTAGATAAGAGTTATTGGCTAAATTAAGAGTAATATTCTTTTTTGATAGAATATGCCACAGCTTGACACCCTACATGAAAGTAATTGTCATTGTGAGACCTCCCGTGGCAGCATGTCTAACCTGCGGGTAGCTATTTGTGTGCATTATCATGATCAACTACAATAGTTGTCAGCTGATAGAGGGGCTCCCAATTTTCTCCACAACCTCACCCTAGCAGTGAAAAGCTTTCTGGGAGTCAATGAAAGTGGCATAAAGACTGAATGTGTGCCACACTGAAGCCATCTTGTTCCTTGTTCTAAATCTCCTCTTAATTAACTAATCAAGTACTGAATTGTATGTAGCAATGTTCAGTGTACAGTTTGCTGGTGATACTTAGCAGTAATGTTATTTGCTTGGAACAATAGAGGTCAGTTGTCATTGCATTCTTCAGGGATAATTTTTCTCCTTCCCAGTCTAGTCTTCAGTTTGGGGATTTTCTGGCAGTATATCATTACAATATTAATCAGGTCCAACTAGTTTTAGCATTTCTGAAATCAGCCAAGATGAGCTAGGCTTTGTTGTTCTTCCTCCCTCTCCCTCCCGAATATAATTGCCTTTTAAGAAAAAGAATGCACATAAAGTCCATATAAATATATGAGACTGCATCTGAGAATAAAGTTCATAAGCTGAATACGTTGAGAACATTAATGAAAGATGGTAGATAATTTATTGATTGGTTACATAGTACATTTTCCTCACTGGGGAGAGTGATTATCAATGATGTTCAACATGCATTCTTGCAACAATATATGTATACCCTTGTTTGGTTTCTTACGTTGTCTATGCTTTGTTTTATTTCGACCCATTTTTATGTGCATACAAATAAATTCAAATGACATACAAGTTTAATAACTTAATATTAAAAATAAAGAAATGGGATAGCATTGTTACATCAAGTGCCTCCATACAGAAAAATATATGATATCCTGTGATATCCACAATTGCAAATAGCCTCAGAAAGAGTTGCTATGATAATTAAAATTGGGGCAATTACATGATAACATATATTTTAACAAACGTTGACAGTTGTAGTGTCTAGAGGCAGTGAAATAACTTGCATCATATATTAAA